CTGTCAAGCTCAGTTACATAACAAGAAAACAATCTGTCCTGTGACAGCTGTCCTCAAATTTGACATTTATATAACACCCTTAATTCTGAAATATCCCAAACAGGTAAATCCTCCCTCCCTTGTCATATGCATAATACCACATGCTCCAACAGAGTTGTGTGCTGAGTGAAAGTCATCATGCTTTTGGGTGTTGTCCCACTTATTGGCATTGAGCTGTCCCATTGAAGGACCTACAGCATGTGTGTCAAATGTACAGCCCACAGGCTGGATATGGGCCACAGAACCAAGTCATTAGATCCATGGGGCTCCTGAAGCAACTAGGAATTTGGGGGCAGGGTGAGCAGGGACAGGACCTACCATCCAGTTCCACAGTATTGAGCCCTGTCGTGGACATATTGCAGCAGTGTTGAGGCAAGTGATCACTAAATTAATCCCTACAGCTCCCTGAGCTGACACAGTTGGCTCAGGAACCTTCACTAGTTAATGCCACCATTGTTCAGTCTCCTACTAGAGAATGGTCTGGACCTGGCCTGTGAGGCTCCTTGTGCTCTGGATCCAGCCCAGGAGGAACACTGTGGTCTGGATCCAGCTGCAGGAGGTAGGGAACAAAAGGGATTTTGACACCTCTGGACTACAGTATTCTCAGAAGAAAGGTGGAAGGTTTGGGGCCTTGGTAACAGCAAACAGAATGTGAGAGAGTCTAGCATGGGGCTTATGTCAATTTTAGCCTCTGGGCTCTGTCATTTTTGGAAAACACTGTCTGAGGTGATTCCTAATGGGACAGTCTGCCTCTTATGACATTCACCTTCTAACACCTGGAAATTCAAGGAAATTCTAATTAGGTTTACACTAAACTGGGTTGCATGGATGTAACTTCCTTCTTTGCAGATGCGGATTATAAAGATCAGGGTCTATTTAACCAGCATTGTGCACTTATTTCTTGTCTAAGACTTGTCTAAGACCATATGGTTGAGTTCAGTGTAATTGGAAGCCACTTTCAGAGGAGGGCAAGCATGCCAAGATCCAGGTTGCAGGAAAAAAAACCTTAAACACACCAAGGTGTTTTCCCACTGTCCTGCCTCCAGAGCTGTCCATGCAGTCACCATAATTCAATATATCCCTTAAAATGGAACAATATAAAATAAGTTACAATCTTCAGCATCTTGGAGCATCACTTACATGCAGAATTACAGGGTTAGTAATATTCAGGAGGTCCAGCATCTTTCTTGGCTTGTATATTGCTTCATGCTTTACTGCTATGGAATAACAAATACAGTAAAGTAATAAGATTATGGTTAATATTCTATTTCAGGCCTTATTCTGCTTCTATATTCTGTTGTAGTTAGGCACTGGACTGAAGGTTGCAATTTTTTTCTTCTCCTGTATCGCCATAGATCTTTTCCTTCGTTTCTTCTGCCCATTTATTTTTGTTAACACTGCCCCTTAGAAAAAAATGGCTTCCTTCTATAAAATGGTAGAATTCTAGGTTTGGGAAAAGGGCTGTTTAGCATGCCCTTGAATGCTGGTACTTTTTGTGTATATAAAATCAATTTGTGAGCCTATATTCTGTACATGCACACAAGCTGTACTTGTCAAATCAGCTATCAAGATAAAGTTGCATAAATTACCCTTTTTAAATCCAGGTCTTTATTCAGCTGCTATAAAACATACTGGGCATGTCTACACATGCCCCTGACTGTGTGCAGATAGTACTGTGCAGTCATTTAATACTTGCTAAAGCAAGTACTTTAGCAAGTACTAAATAACTGCCATAGCAGCAGCATTAGGGTTAGTGCCTGCTGATGCCATGTCACTGTAGCGATGAGCTACATCACCACAACATTGTGTCTCGTGTAGATGTGCCCACTTAGAATTTAAACTTTCAAATTTAAAATCTCCTAAATTTCCCCACAGCTTGGAAATACAAATGGTTCAGCCTGTTTTGGACAATGAGAGGGTTTTGAAGAGCATGTTTTTCCTGAAATAGAGAAACATTTCTTGTGATTTTTGGGGGTTTTTTTAAGATGGGAAGGACATGTTTATTTCTTCTCAGTGGGAAATAGTAGAGACTTGAGTTTCACTAGAGACCCAAGGGTGCAGATATATGTACCTTTTGGTGGTCAAGTGAAGATCTCATTTGATTTGGCTGATTTTGATTTGCACTGGTTTGTGCTATACAAGGGAGGCTTTTAAACTAATAATCCAACAATGTTCTTTTGGCACGGTGCTTGCTGCTTAACAAGTGGCAGAGGGCTCTCCATCTGCATGCACATGGCAACCAATAGGAAGGAAGGAAGGAAGAAAGGAAGGGAAGAATTTGTGGGAAGGAGTCTTCTGCACAGGCTGGGTGTCTTGTGGGTGACACCCAGCCTGTGCAGAACTCACTACCTCCCAAGATTGCTTGCTAATCTGCATTCATGGGAAAAACAGCTGTCTTAGAGGTATAACTGCTAACCAGATCCTAACCTTCTGGCCCTCCCATCCCTTCGAAAATTTCAATGCAAATGATATGTCCAAACTCTTAGCTCTACTGATATTAACTTTTCAAAAAAATTACATACTGTTTCATTAAAATGCCTTTAGTAAACACTTTCCATTGAGCAACCTATATATTTATATCAGTCCCTCTGTAGAAAAACTTCACCAAACTACCACAAAGAACATTTCCAATAAACTGTTTGAATCTGATAAGAGTAACACCACCAGCACCCATATGAAAAATTGGTTAAAAGAGGGGGTTGTGGACAGAGTAACATGTTTGTTACATATTCTCTCTTTTGTAGAGAATGGAAAAGTAATGAACATTAACAGGATGTTATAAGGCACAAATGACTTTTAAATTCAACTCCTGCTGATCCTGATTTCCAGCTGTAAGGAGAATGGAATATTTCTTGAACAACTGAGAAATGGGAAACCAACCAAATTGACGACAATTTTAACCATTTTAGATGCATCCTAGATTTTTATTAGAGGTTGTCATATGACATTTCAAGCCACTTTAATCAAGCCTTGTCTTCTAGAATCTATGAATAAGAAGGCAACAGGAAAACTACAGGTTTTATTTCCTGAGTCCCAGCTATATTTTTTACCTTTGGGCATTTTCTTTAACAGTCCTTGTAGCATGTTACTATTATATTTGGACCCTAGACAGGAAAATCAAGCACTCAAACCAGCTTCTCTTCTCTGTCCATTCAGGGCCAAATCTTGGTCCTACTCAAATCAATGGAAATTTATTTTAATAGGGGCAGGATTTTTTCTGTTAGTTCCTCAGTTATTCAGTTTTAAAAAATGCATCTGACAGCTGTCTCTCAAGTAACTTTCACAACATATTTGTATTAGCATGCTGTGCTCTCCCTTTGTGATGTCCATATGCTCCAGTCTAGAGAGCAAGCCAAACTTTGCTGCAACAATGCTTTTGTGGCTTTCAGAAAGCATAATATCTCACCACCCTCTTATGTGACTGGTAGTGGAAGGGTGTGATGTGCATACAGTACGTAGGTTTAGCTTTGTCATCAGTGGATTCCTGATTAGGATGTGCCTGTTAAGCATATGTCTTTGTTGGGAAGGTACAAAGGTGAACCTCCAAGAGGGGAGAAGTTCCCAATGCTTGGGAGAGCACACATGTTGCTGCACACATTTAAGGAGTGAGGCATGCTCCTCTATAGTATGCAAGCACTTGGGAGGGCAAGTGTTGGCCCTATCAACACTCTTTGAGTGTGCCCAGCAGTGCTGGGAAGTGGCCGGGGGCCAGGACATGGGGGCAGCAGTGATGTCCAGTTGCCATCACACTGGCAGAAGCCACTTTTTTCCACTACCCCTCCCCCCACCCAAGTCAGCGGCCAGGGCAGTTGTCTTGTTCACCACGCCCCAGTGGCCCCCAAGAGGTAGCTAAGGAATAGTCTTTTGTCCCATGATGGCAGCACAACAATTCTCTCTATGCCATACAAAGTGGGGGTAACTTCTTTACCTTGCTACTGTCACTATGTAGCTGCATAAGGCTCAGTGGGATCTAATTCTAAATAAGCTAAAAAGCCTAAAGCCTAGCTTGTTTTTAATGCTAACCCTCTAGCATGTTTGTCTTTGAAGACAAGATGGAATGCTATTCATGACAGTACATTTTATAGCTCTGTACCTTAGGATCTAAACAAGAGAAATTGATTTGGTGTGTAGTTGTTGGGCATCTTCAGCTTTCCTGGAAGCCATGTCTTCTGTGTGGCATCCATATGAGCAAGCAAAAAATTTACATTTTCCCTGTGCAGGATGATAGATGCAGGGGCTGCTGCTATGAAATTCTGCAGGAGGAGAATGCAAACATCTCATTGAATCGCAGCAAAGTTCTCCAACACCCCTCAGAAAAAAAAGTGCTGCAAAAAGGGTGAAAATGACAGCCATGAAAACACTGTGTGCAGTGTGGCATGTTGGTAGCATTTTTTTGCTGAATTCTTGCTTTCTATAAATGTTAGAATCAGACTGCTCATTAGTGCATTAGTGTATTAGCACTGTGTCCTGCAGTCCCTTTGGAATGGAACTGTAGTTCTGCACATGACAGAAGGGCTTGGGGGGGATTGTGCTGGTAAACTGGTCAGAGGTGTTTACCAAGAGAAACAAAAGCAGGCAAGGCAGGCTACAACCAAAAACCCAGCAGGAGAAATAAAGGCACCTTGTCCATCCTCACCTTGTCCATCCTAGGTGAGTAACCTGGAAGGCTTTGTACTTAAAGTGGTAGTAGACAGGAGGGAAGATAGGCAGTAGATTGATTCATAGCAAGTAAGGCTACTGATATGTCAAAATCTACTATGGTTTCAATCTCCCAGATTATTTTACAGTCTTAACATGACAGTGGATGAAAGGCATGGGAAGGAGAGGGAGTGTTTGGAAGGGCACTAATGGGCAAGAAAGGGGCTTTTTCCACACAGTGTTCTGCATTTGACAAGAGGCCTGAGCATAGTAGTATCTATTATTTAACCCTTAAACATCCTCTTTCTTCTCTTTTTCCCCAGGTGCAAGTGGGAAGTACACCTCAGGACCAAAGAATTGTAGGATATATTTCCTGCACTCACTTGCAAGCTCTGGCAGGTACTGTTTGGATTTGCTTTTCATGGTTCTGCTCTCATTGTTTTTTTCATTCTACCCAAGAGTTTTAATACAGGAATGGTGTATTAGCAAAACTCCTCTCCTTCTCCTGCATTGGAAACAGAAGGCCATGTGCATTGCAAAGTGATGGAAAAGGAAAACAAAATGCCTGCAAGGGCTAAACATCTTAGATTCTTCAATCACTTCTTAGAGGTAACATATGAGAATGTGGCACACCAGTGCAAGTATGGTGAGATCTCAGGACCTGGCCCAATGCAGTGCTAAGTACCTTATGTTGTCTCTTGGGCTCATACATGATCATTGGTACTGAGATAACTCCTAACATTTCTCCTCTGAAGCATATATTTGATGGTGCTTGGGGAGCCAAAGTAGTCAGGTGTTTGTATATTATGCTGTAATTCTCACTGCCGCATAGAGAAGAAAAAATCACTTGTTGGTAACAGTATCATATTTAGATAGGAATTTTCTGTTGGTGTTTGAGACAGAAAAATGCAATTTCTGCAAACATTTTTCCTGTGGGAACATCTAAATAAAATATTTAGGTTAAAAGTGGGGTGACCCAAAGAGAAATATTTTGTTTAAATGTTTTGTTAAACTCCAGCTGAAACAGTTAATTTTCAGTTTAGCATTAAAGCGACAACAAGATACTATAGGGCTTTATGCCCCATACAGGCCTAGTTTAACCATGATGCAGTCCCTGCACTGAAGAGCTACAGTGAATCATGGGAAACATCATCTAGCCTGGCAAGTATGCCTTGAAAAATGAAGTGGGGCATAAAGTATTTGAATTGCATCTTCCTTGAGGTGCTTCAGTAGCTCTCAATTATTTTCTTTCAATCGCAAAATACTCAAAGATGGAAGAAACCCCTAACCATCCTTTCTCCACTTATCTCCTATAGAATAAGCAACATTATTTTAGCAAATACATTCTTAGTCAACCAGCATGATTATCAACATTCTAAAAGTATTTATGTACAGTAACAGAAGAAGTGTCAATAGGATGTATCTATCCAAACTGCAACCTGAAATCATTAAACTATAATATGCAATTAAATATTCATCTTTTAATGAAAGAAATATGCATAAACCAAAAATGGGCAGGTTGCTTAACAGTCAGTTATTTAAAATATTCTAAAATCCCTTTCTGGCCCTTCTTTTCTTTTCTGCTTAACCCCAGACATGTCTGCTTCTATATTTAATTACCTTATTTCCCCTTTTAATCTAGCACCTTTGCTCCCTGCTGGTCAGCAAAGCCCTCCCCAGTCCACAGTGCATATTAAGTGCACAGTAATCCAGAAGAATTTTGTCATTCATGACTTTGGGATCAAGATTTAGCCAGTATATTTAAAAAATGAATGGAAAGAAGCAGATGTAATTCTTATACCATAAACACAGAAACATTTTTTTTTTTCTGGAGGAAAGAAATAGGGCTGTGTAAAGCTTCAGGTGCTGATTTTGTTTCAGAGGAGATTCGGCCCAATTCGGTGGCCAAATCTCCAAACCCAAATCAAATCAGGGGCCAATTAAAAGGTCCAAACCAATTCAAAGCTCTCGAAATTGATTCAGAAAAGATTTGGAGAGCTTCAATGATTCAGGCAGTCCCCGCCCGCTGCAGCAGGGAGCTGGAGCCAGACTCAGAGCTGGTAAGTAGGGGGTGGGGGAGGGGAGGCTGGAGGAGGGGACCATGGGTGGACCCCTGCCAGGCCCCATTCCTTGCCTGCTCCCCCAGCCCCTCCAACCCCCGCCCTCTGCCCTAACCCACCCCCCTATGGCT